CTCCCTCTGTTCTCACAAGCCAAAGAAAACTCAGCTTTTAAGGGGTGCTCATGGTTAGCTGAGGTACACCTGGATAATCTCCCTTTTGCCAAAGGAGAGGAGATTATATAAGGATGAGGGTCACTGTGGGTCATTCTTAAGATCCTGCCTGTCTGGGGCCCATGCTGTTGCTCAGCAGGTTGAATCCTCAGCCTGCAGCACCAGCATCCCATTTGACTGCTGGTTTGAATCCCAGCTGCTTCACTTCCATTCCAGCTTCCTGCTAACAGCCTGGGAAAACAGAGCATGGGCCCCTGCACCATGTGGGCTCCTGCACCATGTGGGCCTCTGCACCCAGAAGTTCCTGGCTCCTGGCTTCAGCCTGGCTCAGTCCTGGCTGCTGTGGTCACATGGGAACAGAAGTGGATGGAAGACCTCTGTCTCTCCTTCTCTCTCTCTAACTCTGCCTTTCAAATAAATAATACATAGATCTTAAAAAAAGAGATCCTGCCTGTCTTTTCTACCATCTTAGTTTTCTACCCCTTCAGAATTCTTACTGGCAATTTCATTAGAGATGGAAATGTCTCTGTCATAACACAAAACTAGGAGCTAAAAATAGATAAGAATTAAAAAAATAGAAAAATAAAGTAAACAAAAAGAAAGAGGTAGAGGCTCCCTGGGTCAGGTCTATGATTGGCTTGGAATACAGCTAACAGGTGTAAGGAACACCAAATTTTGAGACAGAAAATAATTTTCAGGGCCTTTCTGGGAGTCTGAATTATTCAAAAAAATATGCAAGGGCGTCTGGGTTCAGCAGAATGTCTGGAAGGGTGTCCTCTTCCAGGACAGCTACTTCACACTCAGTGAGGGCCTTGTTCATAGCAAGGGTACGCTCACATTCTTTGCTTGATCTCAATCTTGGGACTACGTCAACACACCAGGAGCTGAACCCGGGACTCAGTACGTGGGTCCGACTACTACTTCACCTTTCTGTGCTCAGAATTGGAATGGCCACCTCACTTCAACTGATGCAGTCATGAAAGGGATGACTTCCTTGCTCTGCTATGCTTTGAACTCCAAGGTCATAAGCTACAGTATGAAAAGGGTGAAAATTTAGCTCAGTGATGGTGTTTGGGTGGCGGGCCGACTGGGAGGTCACTGAGGGGGTGATGGCAGGAAGGTCGCTCTCGAGTGAGGATTGGTTCTAAAAGCCTGAATCAGGCCCAGCTGCTCACTCTGGTTCCTGGCTCACCATGTGAACTTCCTCTGCACGTACTCCACCATGGCCATCTGGTGCCCTCACAGAGGCCAAACCAATGGGGCCACCAAATATGGGACTTAAACCCCCAAAACTGAATAAACCCTTTCTTTTCATTAAGTTAGCTGCCTTGGGTATTTCATTACAGTACCATAAATCTGAAATAAACACTCTGGATCCTCCAAGCCTGTTACCTGTTGTGAAATCAACCTCGATGCAAAAGCCAAAGTCCTTTAGGTGAGGTGGGCCATCACACAAATGACAATGCCCCTGACTACTGCATTAAAATTGGATCTAAACACCCAACGTTCCCAATCCTCCTTCCCGGCTTTACTTTTCTCCACAGCACACACCCCTTCCAACAGAGCACATATTTCACTTTTTGTTATTCTCTGTGAGAATGTAAATTTTATGAAAACACTCACTGATGAAATCCCAAAACCTAAAACATTTCTTGGCACTGAATATGTTGCTCAACGAAAATCATTAATGGATTAACATATGAGGGCTTTATTCATCACGTTATACTGTAGTGAGGTATAAGAAGCCATTTAAAGTCAAAACACACATGGCTACTAGTTTTCAAAAGACTGGGATTCTTCTGAGCCACCAACAATTTATCTTTGGCTTCCTAATTCTGAGAGAACAAGCTTACAAGTTGCCTTAGACAAACAGGTGTGGACAAATAATATCCTGTGCAAAGTCAATAAAGCAGACACATTTACATTTCTCTCTGAAGTTTTACAGAGCTTTAACAATGAATGAAAAACACCCTTCAGGCAAATTGAGTCTTGGGTTTCATCAATGCAAAATGTTGTGAAAACTAATTCAAGATGTTCAGAAAAAGAACCACAAAACTCACTATAGCTGGACATATTATTCTTATGATTCTGACTGGAAATATCTTACTGTTTATCTCCTCCCTGCAATCTAATTATAACAGTGTTACATCACAAGGGTACATTCCTTCCACAAATTTTAATTGTCTTTTTATATCCGCTCTCCATCCATTTCTGTGAGTTGGGAAGCAATGGTGCGGTCGCCTGCCAGCCGCGGCTCGGCTGGGCCACTCATTCCTGACTGACGATGCTTTGTGACTGGCTTCTTCAGTTTTCCATTACCATTCCTACTGCTTTTATGCTGAAGCCTCCTGTCATCAGCTCTCCCTCTCTGGCCTCCTTTTGTTTTCCACGTCCTCAGCAGGGTGCTGACACGCTCTGGACGCTGACTGCTGAGGAGGCTTCACCCACGGCCCATCTGGCCCTTACCATGGGCTGGGTCAGCGTGCACACAGTCACCCAAAGAATAAACAGTGGGTCAGAGGCAAACGTGTACTTTGGAAGTCCCTAGTTCTCTTCTTTCTCTTTCTCTTTTTTCTTTTTTTAACATAAAATGAAAAAGTAACGTCAGAGATACAAGGATACTTGTACTGCTGGGTAGATTTGCCTCTCGGTCACCTGACGGCTGCCTTTACAAGGAGAAGCTCAGTTCTGCTTCTCTACTGTCTGGGCTGGGTCTCAGGACCCATTTTCTCGTTAGTTGCTTTTTTTCCTCTGTCCTCCCATCTCTAAAACCTTGAGGTTGGGAAGGGAGTGTTATGGTGTCAGAATCTTTTTTTTTTTTTTTTTTTTGATGATATCCAGGGCTTTATTTTGTAATGCAGGGGCCACGGTGTGGCCCCAACCCCACTTCCCACCCTGCACTTCTTAAATGTTTATCACTCTAGGAGACCCAGCATGGTGTCAGAATCTTAAGAAGTGTTAGCAAAATAGCGTAAAGGTATGGGAAGGTGGGCCTGAGAGAGAAGAATGAAGTAGGGGTTGGCAATTTTACTCTATGTAGTATAACAGGTAAAACAAAGAACACATAGGACAGTATCTTCCTGACCTAGGATTAAACAATGGTTGTTTAAATAGGATACAAAAAAACCCACTAACCACCAGAGACAAGAGACAGACTTAATTAAAATGAAGAACTTCTGTCATCAAGAGAGTGAAAATTCAAGCCATACTGGGAGATTTGTTACACATCTACTTCACAAAGGACTTGCATCCAGAATAAAGAAAAAAGCTCCTAAAAGCAATGAGGGAAAGAGAGACAATTTGATTTTCAGAATTAGGCAAAAAGACTTGAGCAGGAACACACCAAAAGAGACCATTCAGATAGCCAATTAGTACATGAAATGGTGCTCAACTCATAGCCAACAGGAAAATGCAAATCAAAACCATAATGAGATACTACCATTCAATTACCAGAATGCCCATGGGTGAGAATGTAGAGAAATGGAACTCTCATAAATAGATTTTCAGAAATCTGTTTGGCATTATTTACCACCTTTGAACATACGCACACCCTGTGGTCCAGTAATTCAATTCTTAGGTATATATCCAGCATAGACAACAACAGACATCTACAAGCACATGCCAGCACTATTTATAATTGTTCCAAATTAGAAATAACTCATTTGTTCATCAACAATAGAGTGGATAAATAATGCTATTACTCATACAATGGCTCACTAAATGTTAAATAAAATGACAAACTATAGCTAAATGCAACAAAATGGGTAAATCTAATTATATAGTGTATACAAAATACCAGATGCAAATATTATAGAATTTTCTATTTATTTATATAAAATTCAAATGGAGGCAAAACTAACAGCATTTATGGATGCACATTTTTACAGAAACTCTAATGAAAAGAATTTAAGGTCAATAGTTGTCGTAAAGAGTACAGAGAGGTTAGGATTGCAAAGTCTTTTTTTTTAATTTTCCTATTTTTATACTATTTATCCTATTTATTCGAAAGGCAGAGTTACAGAGAGAGAGAGAGAGAAATCTCCCATCCACTGGTTCACACCCCAAATGGACACAATAGCTGGGCTGGGCCAGGCCAAAGCCAGGAGGCAAGAGGTTCTTCTGGGTCTCTCACATGGGTGCAGGGACCCAAACACTCAGGGCATCCTCTGCTCTCTCAGGAGCATCAGCAGGGAGCTGGATTGGAAGTGAAGCAGCCAGGAGTTGAACCGGTGCCCATGTGAATGCCAGTGCTGCAGGCGGTGTCTTAACCTGCTACACAACGGCGGCCCCAGGTTTGCAAAATCTTATCAAAGGTTTGTGGGAACTGGCAGTGCTCTATTTCTAGTTGGCAGTGGTGACTGCATGGGTTTTCATGTCACAATTATTTATGAAACTCTAATGTATACTTCATGTGCTTCTATCTCTATATACAGAATCTCATAATACAAAAGCTTAAACTTCTATCAGGTATTACTTCTTTGTCACAGAAAATAAATACTGTTCCAGTAAAACCTAAAACTCTTACTAAACCAAATGCAAACAGCTCTCTAAGAAAAGAACAATTTGGAAACATTTTGGAGGCTCATGTATGAGAGGCCTCTGCATCCTCCATAGGAGGACGGCACAGCAGAAGCTGTCTCCTGTGGGTGAATGCAGCCTGCTGGCACTGCTTGCAGAGCTTGTGTCTTACGGGTAAAGAAAGAGGCTCCCTTCCTGTAGAAGATGCAGCTGTGCACTTAGGGATATGGTCTGTGGGATGGACTGTAGACCTCCTCATCTGGGGGCCTTTGTGCAGTGCACAGCAAGTATCAAACCCTCTCCGGAAGTTCGGCCTAGGGCTACAGAAAGCTGAGAGTTCAACGCATGCTGGCCCACCAAGCAGGTACACACATGGAGCACATCCTGGCACAGGACCACGACCACCCAAGTCTGGCTGAAAATTAGCTGCGTTTGTCCCTTACCGCATAACCTTCCGTCTTCTTCTGGCACCATTTCAGGAGCGCATTGCGCTTGGAGCCGCCATATTCCCGAGCCAAGGCTGCCAGAGGGTCTCTTCTTTCCACGCTGGTTAGAAACAAGAGCACACAGTGAGGAGGGGATTCTAATTTTCTGAACCTTCAAGTATACAAGAAATAAATAACTAAAAAGTAAAAGTGGGGCCAGCACTGTGGTGTAGCGGGTAAGGTCACCGCCTACAGCGCCGGCATCCCATATGGGCAAAGGTTCTAGTCCCAGCTACTCCACTTCCGATCCAGCTCTCTGCTATTGCCTGGGGAAGCAACAGAGGGTGGCCTAAGTCTTTGGGCCCCTGCACCTGTGTGGGAAACCTGGAAGAAGCTCCTGGCTCCTGGTTTTGGATCAGTGAAGCTCCAGCTATTGCAGCCATCTGAGGAGTAAACCAGCAGATGGAAGAATCTCTCTCTCTCTCTCTCTCTGTGTGTGTGTGTGTGTGTGTGTGTGTGTGTCTGCCTCTCTGTAACTCTGCCTTTCAAATAAATAAATAAATATTTTTTAAAAAAGTAAAAGTTTAGGGGGTATCCAGCAAGATATTAAAGAAATAATCAAATTTGTCATTTTAATTATATATTTTATTCTGTCTCATGATATGAAAGAAGAGCTAGATTGTGCTTCTTCAGTATCCTAACTCTAGGGAGAGTTTTGTTTAATTTTAAAATTGATCTGTTGATCATCTAGCCTTTTATTTGTTTACCTCAGTATAATAAAATTTAAATTAAAGGCAACTATACAAAAGCACATTATTTAGGCTCCATCTATATTTAAATAACATAAAAAGGTAGATTGGAAAGGCAGATTAAAGAAAATTGCTTACATGGAGGTGAAGGGAATGGGGAGGAAAAGAGGGAAATCTAACAGAAAATGACTCTCAAGAGGGGTTTTGTACACACTAAGGGGGTATTCATACTTCTCAGTTAGTGGTATATTAACTCATTTCTGAGTACCTGATTTACCCAAAGCTTAAGTGATCTTACTAATATCTTTCATTTTTTTAAAAAAAATTTAAAGATTTATTTATTTGAAAAGCAGATTTAGAGAGAGAGAGAAGGACACACAGAAAGATCTTCCATCCACTGATTTACTCCCAAAATGGCCAAAATGGCCAGGGCCAGGCCAGGCTGAAGCCAGGAGCCAGGAGTCAGGAGCTTCATCTGGGTCTCCAACCACTGGTTCTCTCCCCAGATGGCTACAATGGCCAGGGCTGAGTCAGGCTGAAATCAGGAGCCAGGAGCTTCATCCAAGCCTCCCAAGTGGGTGGCAGAGGTCCAAACACTTGGGCTATCTTCTGCTGCTTTTCCCAGGCCATTAGCAGGAAGCAGCCAGGATACAAACTGGCACCCATGTGGGATGCAGGTGCAGCAAGCAGCAGCTTAACCCTCTGCACCACAGTGGCAGCCCCATATCCGAGCATTCTAAGAGCAAAAGTTCAGGTGCCCATCTTCAGTATTTTATCAATACACATTATACAAGTTTTATGTTAGCCAAACTTATTCAAAAACTTAAGATCATACAATTTCTCCAGTCATGAGTAACATGAAATCAGAACTATACACCTATGGTATTTGAGTACAGTACTCTGTTTCCCTAACACCACGTGCAATAGAGCAGGAAAATAAACAGAGTGGCCCAAGTGCTGTGTATCTGGAGCATGCAGGGTAGCAGGTAACGATTTAAGAAATCTGAATTGACTCCTACGATATCCAACTGTGCCTCAAAAATTTCTTGAAAAATGGCATCATCTTTTCATTCTTTTCCACAAATGTTTTGAAACCTCTCATACAAGGGTATGTCTGAAAATTTGTGGGAGGTAGGCATTTAGTCTAGCAATCGGAAACCCACATCCTGTGTCAAGGTGCCTGGGTTGGATGCTCAGCACCAGTTCCTGCTAATGTGCACCTGGAGGCAGTGGTGATGGCTCTGGTAGCTGGGTTCCTGCCACCCCATGAGGGAGACCTGGGTTGAGTTTCTAGCTCCTAGTTTTGGCCTCTTGGCTGCTGTAGGCATTTGGAGAGTGAACCAGCAAATGGGAGCTGGTTCTCTGTCTCTATCTGTCTCTTAAAAAAAAAAAAGTTCATGGGAAAAACAAAAGGTTTTAGTACAAAAAATTTTGAAATCTATGCATTTTTTCGTAACACGCATTTCCAAGAACTTTTTGAAGACCCCTCAAATGTCATCAGAATGTTCATAGCAATGCTTTCTATGATAGTAAAAAGTTATAAACAGTCAAATGTGCATCAATGGGTAAATGGACAATTATAGTCAAAGTATAGTCAAGCAATGGAATATAGACAGCAAGAAAAATTAATAAATTATGTAATAACATGGATGAGTAATAATTGTTTGTACTGCTTGTGTGTGGTAAGGTGGCAAGGAGAAGAGAGAGAAGACAAACATCCACTTCAGAACGGTGGTTACCTGGGAAGGAGGAGTGAGGCCAGGGAAATGTGAAGGGGGATGACAGGACACTACAAAGGTAACAATTTACTTTTCCTTAAACTAAGAGGTGGGAATTGAAGTGGATCTCCATTATATGATTACTCTGTATAGCTTTCACCTGTTTTATTAGTCTTTTGTGACCATCCCATATTTAGTAAAAATATTTTAAATGATTTTGAAAAGATTAATTGGATGATTTGAGACCTCAGCAAGAGGAACTAAGAGAGATTTAAAGAAAAAACAGTTCATACTTGAATTTAAATTCTGCTTGCCTAATTTGGTGACTGCTTTTCCAGGCACACGGCAGATTTGTGAAGTCAAGTCCATGCATTTCTTTGGCCAGGGTTGCTGTTACTGCCACAGTCATGGTGATTCTGCCTGTGTTTACCACGCCTGGGCTTAATGTCATCCTTTGGAACTAACTTTTTTTTTTTTTTTTTTTTTTTTTTTTTTAAGTTAGTGAGAGAGAGAGACAGAGAGAAAGGTCTTCCTTCCGTTGGTTCACCCCCCAAATGGCCACCAGGGCCAGTGCGCTGCACCGATCCGAAGCCAGGAGCCAGGTGCTTCTTCCTGGTCTCCCATGCAGGTGCAGGGGCCCGAGCACTTGGGCCATCTTTCACTGCACTCCCGGGCCACAGCAGAGAGCTGGAGTGGAAGAGGAGCAATCGGGACTAGAACCCAGCGCCCATATAGGATGTTGGCAACACAGGCAGAGGATTAACCAAGCGAGCCACTGCGCCGGCCCAGGAACTAAGTTTCTGACAAATCAGAGTCAAATTAGAGCAGACTGAAATGAAAGTTTGGGAAAGAGTTACAGTATAAATGAATGACTGAAACAGTCACCAGATAGTTTTCTTTTCAATCTGAGGGAGAGAGAGAGAGAGTGCGCACAAGCTCCCACTCGCTGGTTCATTCCTCAAATGCCTGTGATGGCTGGGTGTGGGATGGGCCAAAGCTCAGAGGCAGCTGGGAACTCAAGCTAGATCTCCCACGTGGCTAGCAGGGATCCAAGTACTTGAGCCATCACAGCTGCCACCCATGGTCTGCACTAGCAGGAAGCTGGAACTGGGAGGTGGCACCAGATATCAAACCCAGGAAAACTCAGATAATGAGACAGGGGCATCTTAACCACTGGCCTAAATCCCTGTCCCTCACAAGACATTCCTTTTTTTTTTTTTTTTTTTTGACAGGCAGAGTGGACAGTGAGAGAGAGAGAAAGGTCTTCCTTTGCTGTTGGTTCACCCTCCAATGGCCGCCGCGGCCGGCGCGTTGCGGCCGGCGCACCGCGCTGATCCGATGGCAGGAGCCAGGAGCCAGGTGCTTTTCCTGGTCTCCCATGGGGTGCAGGGCCCAAGCACCTGGGCCATCCTCCACTGCACTCCCTGGCCACAGCAGAGAGCTGGCCTGGAAGAGGGGCAACCGGGACAGAATCCGGTGCCCCGACCGGGACTAGAACCCGGTGTGCCGGCGCCGCAAGGCGGAGGATTAGCCTAGTGAGCCGCGGCACCGGCCTAAAATAGGTAATTTTTTAAAAAGATTTCTTTATTTATTTGAAAGGCAGAGGCAGAGAGAGAGAGAGAGAGAGAGAGGTCTTTCATCCACTGGTTCACTCCCCAAATGACTGCAACAGCCAGAGCTGATCCAAAGCCAGGAGTCAGGAGCTTCTTCTGGGTCTCCCATAGGGGTGCAGGGGCCCAAGGACTTGGGCCATCTTCTACTGCTTTCCCAGACCATAGCAGAGAGCTGGATCGGAAGAGGAGCAGCCGGGACTAGAACAGGCGCCCATATGGGATGCCAGCACTTCAGGCCAGGGCTTTAACCTGCTATGCCACAGCGCAGGCCCCGATAATGTACCCTTTCTAACAAAAGGTATAATATAAATGGCAAATTTATATACATATAGTCTTTCTGTATGTATTTCTGGCACAAAGAAATGGGAAGTTTCAGAATAGCAGTGACTCTGATCCTTAAAATATTTTTTGATATTTAAATCTTTTGCATGTAAACAGGGCAATATGTAACATCTGGAACTTTTTTTGGGGGGTGAAATTTTATTTATTTATATGAAAGGCAGAGTTACAAAGAGAGAAGGACACACACACACACAGAGAGAGAGAGAGAGAGAGAGAGAGAGAGCTCTCCCATCCACTGGTTTACTTCCCAAATGGCTGCAACGGCCAGAGCTGGGCCAGGCTGAAGCCAGGAGCCAGGAGCTTCTTCCGGGTCTCCCATGTGGTGCAGGGGCCCAAGCACTTGGGCCATTTTATGCTGCTTGCCCAGGTGCATTAGCAGGGAGCTGGATTGGAAGTGGAGCAGCCAGGTCTCGAACCATCCTCCATATGGGATGCTGTGGTCAGAGGCAGCAGCTTTACCCACTACACCCCAATGCCGGCCCCACATCTGGAACTTTAACTGCTGAAACAAATGACTTCATCTCTCTGGGTCCAAATACAGGCTACACCATAAAGTATGACAAGATCTGAACTTATTCAGACCTTCATAAATCTTTTAAAAACACCCATGTTACTAATAATATTTATTAAAGAGCTATTACTCTTAGAGTGGACAATTTGGTATATTAATCAATCCACTCATTTATCATTATCTAGTGAGTGAAATACTATGTGTGTAACAAGTGTAAATGGCTGGCACAAAAGACACAGAAACTAAGAAGAAAAATTTACTGTCCACTAAACAATAGACTCACTGGGGACCCAGGCATGTGTCATGCAATCGTTATTCACAGCACAAGGCAGTACAGGAATTAAATACCCAAATGAGCCTAAGACACCAGAGTGGTTAGCTACAACTCTGTGGAAGGCTTGACCTTGAAAGAGAAGCAGTGTGTAGGAGTGTGAAAGGACAAAAGGAAGGCAATTCAATCCAGAACCTCACAAAGATCTGTGATCAGAGATGCTCATACTGAGAATACAGTTGTCCTTTGCTACACTCAGGGGACTGATCCCAGGACAGCCCTCCACCTCTCCAACAATATAAAAACCTGAGGACAAATGGCATAGTATTTGCATAGAACCTATGCACACCCTCCTATATGCTTTAAATACCTCTAGAGTACTTACAACACCTAACACAATGTAGATGCCATGTAACTCACTGTTACTGTACTGTTTAGGGTATAATTATGCTCTGAAAAAAGTCTCTGCATGCTCAGTACACACACAGTTTTTTTTCCCCCAAATATTTTTTTTTTATTTTTTTATTTTTATTTTTATTTATTTATTTTTTTTTTTGACAGGCAGAGTGGACAGTGAGAGAGAGACAGAGAGAAAGGTCTTCCTTTGCCGTTGGTTCACCCTCCAATGGCCGCCGCTGCAGCCGGTGCACCGCGCTGATCCGATGGCAGGAGCCAGGATCCAGGTGCTTTTCCTGGTCTCCCATGGGGTGCAGGGCCCAAGCACCTGGGCCATCCTCCACTGCACTCCCTGGCCATAGCAGAGAGCTGGCCTGGAAGAGGGGCAACCGGGACAGAATCCGGCGCCCCAACCGGGACTAGAACCCGGTGTGCCGGCGCCGCAAGGTGGAGGATTAGCCTATTGAGCCACGGCGCCGGCCCCCCCAAATATTTTTGATGCAATGTTTGCTGAATCTGCTGATGCAGAACCTGTGGATGAGCAAGGCCAACTGCACTACAGAAGCAGGAGTAAAACAGGCTCAGATGGTGAAGGCCTGGGCCATTCTGACAGGTGAGGGGGGGTGATGCGGCAGGAAGATCAGGATGAATGTGGATGACAAAGCCACAGGAGGGGCTGGTGCTGTGGTGTAGTGGGTAAAGCTGACGCCTTCAGTGCCGGCATCCCATATGGGCACCAGGTTGAGTCCCGGCTGCTCTACTACCAATCCAGCTCTCTGCTATGGCCTAGGAAAGCAGTAGAGGATGGCCCAAGTCCTTGGGCCCCTGCACCCGTGTGGGAGACCTGGAAGAAGCTCCTGGCTCCTGGCTTTGGATCAGCGCAGCTCTGGCTGTTACAGCTAAGTGGGGAGTGAACCAGTGGATGGAAGGTCTCTCTCTCTCTCTCTCTCTGTAACTCTGCCTTTCAAATAAATAAATAAATAAATCTTTTTTTTTTAAAAACCCACAGGAGGTTTCTGAGAGGCCTGCAGCAGGATGCACTCACTGCCTCAGAAGACTAACCAACCCAGAGAGGCAGGGAAGACACAGGGAAGCAAGGACGCAGCTGCTGGGGCTTCTGTGGCCTGCATGACCAGGGGCTCTGAAAGGGAGAAGGTATAGAGGCACCGGAGCAATGATTAGGCTCTCTGTGACTGCCTGCCAGCCTTGCTGTTCTTCTCTCCCTCTTCTACCACATCCTTCATGTCCCTGCTAAATTCCTTTTTAAATACTGGTTTCAAAATGCTTCCCTATTGCTTCTTAAATGCCATTGTGTTCTGATCAACCACCCTTAAAGTTCAGGTCCCACCTTAGAGCACCACTGCTCAAAAACGAAAACTCAATCCCTCAGTCCTAGTGCTGCTCCACCATTTTACCAGAGCAAGTCTAACCTCTTCCTCGGCATTGAAGACCACGTGCAATCCCAGCTGCGCTGCACTAGTCACCCGTCCACCTGCACAACACGTAGTGACTGCCCTCATGAACCCTGGACACTCCCTGAACCCTGCTCCACAGCTCGCTCAGGATGCTTCTCAACTTTCTGATCCAATCAACAATCCCACCAAGTACTTGCTTATTCCTTTCTAAATAACTCTGTATTTCGTTCTGCACAATGTTGTTTTTTGTTTTTAAAGACTTATTTATTTGAAAGTCAGAATTGGAGAGAGAGAGAGAGAGAGGTCTTCCATCTACTGGTTCACTCCCCAAGGGGCCACAATGGCCAAGGCTGGGCCAGGCCATAGCCTGGTCTGCCACCCACATGGATGGCAGGGACCTTAGTGCTTGGGCCATCTTCTGCTGCTTTCTCAGGCCGTTAGCAAGAAGCTGGATTTGAAATAGAGCAGCTGGGACACAAACCAGTGCCTGTTTGGGATGCTGGCATCAAAGGCAGGGGTTTTACCTGCTATGCCACAACGCTGGCCCTGTTGCACATACTCTTGTCTAGGGCTCTCCTTTTAGAGCTGTTGAAAGCAATTTCCTTTCAAGAAACATTTGTAGAAATAAACTGACCATAGGAATAAAACAAAAGGAGGAATATGAAGTAACCATATCACTGTTTTTTTGATTTCTCACTGTTCAAAACATGATACCTGAGTTTGCTTTGTGGTTTCAAACCCCCAGTGGAAGCACTCAGCAGCCTGGTGCTCCCAAAGCCCAGAGATGGCGGCCTGCTCAGTGACTCCAGAGATGGACTCTTTCGGAGGTAAGGGTCCGGCTTCAGGTCCTCAGCCCTTCCCTTCAGAAGATCTGTGAGAACAATAGCATAATCACTATCCCTGGAGAAATTTCATAGGTCATGAGACTTCATCTCAAGTACAATACTATTTTCAAGTTCACACACACACACACACACACATGCACACACACAGACTATTTGATGGCTTCTGGAGTAATAAAAATGCAAATAAGGACCTGGTGTTTTCTAAAAAGCGTTCTCCAGGCAGGATGCAGCACTTAATTTATAGACCCCAGTGCCGAGTCAGTCCCTTGTTCAGAAATTACGACACATTTCAAGACAGCATCGTCAGAGCATTAAGTCAGCCATGTGCCCTTCTGAGAGCTTTGTGCAGCTGCACAGTTCACATGTCCATGGAGCCGTCCTCACCCCAAGTGACACTCTTTGCTTGAATCAATGGGCATCAGAGTGAGTGAGCTGGCAGGAAAATGCCTCGTGTGATTATCCACTCACAGCTGGTCGGAGGGGACCCAAGAATGCCTACTGCTTTACAAGGGGAAAAAGCCAGTGCGATCACAGAGCCTGGCTCGCTAAAAAGTAAGTAAAAAATAATTCTTTCAAGGCTCCTTCCTGCTATCAGATTAGTCCGAATCAAAACAGATCACGAAACAAAATGAACCCTCCAGAAGATATTTATTTCTTAAAGGACCAGAAAGTACAGATCAGGAGAAAACTGAAGCTCAGGGAAGTGATTTGTTCAAATACAACAGGCCAGTGACTGGGGCTAAGCCCACGGCCATAGGCTTGCTCCCTATGACCCACGATAGTCACTAGTCACGGAAGAAAACATTACTTCTAGAGCTAACAGCCATCAATTATGGGTAGTAAAGTTGGGAGTGAGGACAATTAGCTCTAAATAGCAGAGAAAAACAGTGTTTTCAACACTAAAGAGAACAACAAAAACAGCACATTAATTCCTATTTCTGCAGTTTTCTGATGACCTCAATGTTGACAAGCAATTACAGGAAACTGTTGGAAGCAAGCAATTTTCACTTTGTAATCCTTTCTTTATTATAGTAAATAGAATCATCCCAGTAGACAGGTGCCTGTGGGTGCCGGGGCAGGGTTGTCAATGAACTATTTACTTCACAGTCAAGGCTGTTGTGGTCTCAACTTCAGTGTTTATCTTGTTAATTAAAAGAATGGTTTCTCTACACAATAGGACACTTTAGAGCTGGTGGAATAGAGAGGACAGGACAGGAGGATGATCAAAAGCTCACCCAATATACTTAAAAATAGTTAAAATAAATTTTATGCTGTGTGTTTTTTTTTACCACAATTTAAAAAGAAATTTCACCCTCCACTATACATACAATGACGTTAACCCCTACTTCAGCCCACAGAGCAGCTGAGGTGGGATTTCAATATTGTCTTGGTCTCCTCACTCCACTTCTGGTAAAGCGGTGCTGAGGTTTGGTCTCCCAGACCTTAAACTCTCGTGTGTCTCCTCCTCCACCAACCCCTTGCATTTTTTCCCCTATTCTTCTTTTTTTTTTTTTATCTTTTATTTAATGAATATAAATTTCCAAAGTACGACTCATGGGTTACAATGGCCCCCCCCCCCCATTCTTCTGATCTCAGGAGAATTCCCTTCTTTCTAGAAGTCATTATTAGAATTTAAAACTCTGTATAAAATTTTATCACCTATTTATGAAGCCCCTAATCAGAGCAATTGCCAGCCTCTTTATCAAAAGGCAACTTGATAGAAAGAATTCGGAAACATCCTGGTCCCTGATGTATTCAAAATCAATGTGGCCTTTAGTCAATCACTTCACCTCTACAGGGTTTGAATTGCTCACATGTAAAATCAGGGGAATGGGCCAAGATCATCTTTAAATCCTCAATGTCAGTGTTTACATAAATCTAAAATTCTTATTAATTCCACAAAAAATCGAAGATTCAGAAGAAAAACTTAGCTCACAGAAACAGTAAGAACAAGCCTGGGGGCCAGCACTATGGCAGAGTGGGTTAACCTACCGCCAGCAGCACAGCTATCCCCTATGGGCAGCAATTTGAGTCCCAGCTGTTCCACCTCCCATCCAGCTCCCTGCTGATGTGCCTGGGAAAAGCAGTGGAAGATAGACCAAGTGCTTGCGCCCTGCAGCCACATGGGAGACAAGGATGAAGCTCCTGGTTCCTGGCTTCAGCCTGGCTCAGTCCCAGCCTTTGTGGCCATTTGAGGAGTGAATCAGAGGATGAAAGGTCTTGCTTGTTATCTTTTTTTAACAAAGATTTATTTTTTTATTTATTTGAAAGGCAGATTACCAGAGAGAGAGACAGAGAGAGAGAGAGACAGAGAGGTCATCCTTCTGCTGGATCTCCCTCTCTCTCTGTGTGTCTCTCCCTGTCTCTAACTCTTCCTTTCAAATAAACAAAAATAACTTAAAAAAAGAGACAAATCTGCTTTGTGATCTAGAATTCTGCCTTTTGTCCTTCCTACAGGATCTGGCAAACAGTTCATTTAGTGTTCTTTTTGTTGTTTGTGTTTCCTAACAGTGACCACAGATATACACCTAATTCCTAAGGCACATATTCTGAACTGCCTTAACATCCTCCTGTGCTGAAAGTGCTGTTCTCTTTTTTCTGGAAACAGGAGCTGGTTCAGTGGGTGACAGTGGATAGGGTGATAAAAGAAGATGCTGCCATAACACTCACTGCATGACCAGATTTTAAGATTTAAAAAAAAAATTATTGAAAAGGCAGCAAGAGAGAAAGAGAGGTGGCAGGGGGAGGGGGAGAGGGAGAGAGAAATCTTCCGTCTGCTGGTTCACTCCCCAAATGGCTGCAACCCTGGCCTAGCCCCAGTGGAAACCAGATGCCTAGAACCCCATCTGGGTCTCCCACATGAGTGGCAGGAGCCCAAGCACTTGGGCTGTCTTCCACTGCTTTTCCAGGCAAATCAGGAGGGTAAGGGACAGAAGCAGAACAGCTGGGACTTGAACAGGTGCTCTGACATGGGATGCCAGTGTCGCGGGCGGCAGCTTAACCTGCTGCGCCAAAGTGCTGACCTTCTAAGGGCTCTGAATGTGTTACCTTGATCCTTGCCACAGTCCTGTGAGGTGTACAGCACTACTGCTGTTTCAGAGGTGAGGAACTGAAGCACGGAAAGGTGGAGTCACAGGGCCAAAGTTGGCTGTGAGTGGCAGTGCTACAGCAATCAGTCCCAGTCCTATAACCCCGCTAACAGCTACGCACACAAGCCACCAGCAGGAGGCGCAGCACAATGAGAATGTGACATGAAGAGTGCCCACTGCAACCCCCACTTCGAGTATTTGGATTTTCTTTTAAATATGATATAACAACAGAAGAGGGTTACACACAAAGACAAGCATATCTTTAAAAAGGCACATTTTTAATTAATTATTTTTTAAAAATTTTAAACTTAAATTTGAGAGGCAGAGAAGGAGACATACAGATAATATTCCCATCTATTGGTTCACTCCCCAAATGCCAACAATTGGCTCAGCCCAGGTCAAAACCAGGAACCGGAAACTTAATCTGGGTCTCCTGGGTGGGTGGCAGGAACCCAACCACTTGAGCCATCATGTGCTGCTTCCTAGCGTCTGCAATGGCAGGAACCTGGAATCAGGAGCCAGACCAGGAACTGAACCCAGGCATTCAGATGCAGGACATGGGCTCACGAACCTGACTAATCGCCCTCCTCCTGGAGGCATATTTTAAGAATCATGAAAGTAACAGACAAATTCAAAATAAAATACAATTTTTTCTTAAAATAGCTGTTTCTTTTAAAGATTAGTACATATTCTTGAGATTCAGTTAAAACTAAATGACCAAGTTTGGTATCTCTCCGTGATCCCCACACACAGCACTAAGTGCAGGTTGCAAGAGACACTTGGTTTTCTCATTGGCTGCACTCCTGGATCTAACCTACGTAATCTTTACATTTAGATTGAAATGGCTTAGAATAAATGCCACCAATTATTTTTCAAAGCTTAGTTTTATGCACGGAAAAGAAAAGTCAGCTCCCCACCCACAGAAGTATTGCAGGTTTTAGGTAATCTACCTGAGAGTGGAAGGTCTGGAAGGTCCAGGCGCTGAGCAACTCCTTTGCTGGCTGACCGTACACTGCTGTAAGTCGAATGCCTCTATAAAAACCAAGGGATACACCAGCACAGGTGAGCTTGTGATATTGAGAACAGCATAAACACAGGTGTGTGTGTGTGTGTAGAATAGTGTGCACACATGTACTCATGCAATAGTCCTTTAAGCACATTAGAATCATCAGAGAGAGAGCTTTTAAAATAATTTATTTACCTAATCCTCCACCTTGCGGCGCCGGCACACCGGGTTCTAGTCCCGGTTGGGGCGCCGGATTCTGTCCCGGTTGCCCCTCTTCCAGGCCAGCTCTCTGCTATGGCCAGGGAGTGCAGTGGAGGATGGCCCAGGTGCTTGGGCCCTGCACCCCATGGGAGACCAGGAAAAGCACCTGGCTCCTGGCTCCTGCCAGGATCAGCGCGGTGCGCCGGCTGCAGCGGCGGCCATTGGAGGGTGAACCAACGGCAAAAGGAAGACCTTTCTCTCTCTATCTCTCTCTCTCACTGTCCACTCTGCCTGTCAAAAAAAAAAAAAAAAAAAAAATAATTTATTTACTCGAATAAGTAATCAATGCAATCCTCAAAGGGAACAAAAGGGGAAGTGGTAAAAAGAAAGTCTTCCTTTCACCTCTCATCATCCATTTTTTCTGCCCAGAGATAATTTACTAATCTGCCTTGGGAAAAGCATAGTCTATGTATTCAAGGACCTGTGCAAAAATCCCGTTTTTCGTTCTTGTTTATTTTTTAAAAATGTATTTGAAAGGCAGAGAGAGACAGAGACAGATAGAAATCTCCCATCCACTGTTTTATTCCCCAAATGCCTGCAACAAGTGGAGCCCTGGGCCAGGCTGAAACCAGGAGCCTGGAACTCCATCTGGATCTCCCTTGCGGGTGGCAGGGACGCAAGTACTTGGGCCATCATCCGCTGCCTCCCAGGCTGTGCATTAGCAGGAAGCTGAAACTGGGGGCAGAGCTGGGACACGAACCCATGCATTCTGATATGGGATGTGGGCATCCCAAGTAACATCTTAACTGTTAGGCCAACTCCCACCCCTGTTTCACCAAGATTCTGCTCAGGATTTTTGGATGGAAGTTCTTGAGAGACACTGACCTTTATTTTTTTTTTCATTATTTATTTCATTTATTTGAAAGGTATAGACAGAGAGAGAGACAGACTGACTTTTAATTTCCTGTCTTTTAATGTCTACCAGAATTAGGTATCAAAGTTATGCTGTGCCCTTAAAATAAAGGTTTATTTCTTTTCTAGTGTTTTCCTAGTTTCTGTATGAATTTATGCAAGATTGATGTTTCTTCCTTAAATGTCTGGGAGATTTTACCATGAAGCCATCTGGGTCTGACATTTCCTTTGAGGAAAAGATTTAAATTATATACTACTAAGATTTTCTACTTTTTCTTATGTTAGTTCAGTTACATTTTTTAACTTTTTTTTTTTTTTTTTTGACAGGCAGAGTTAGACAGTGAGAGAGAGAGAGAGAGAGAGAGACAGACAGACAGAAAGGTCTTCCTTTTCCGTTGGTTCACCCACCAGTGGCCTGGCCGCTTTACGGCTGGTGTGCTGCGGCCGGAACCCTGCGCCGATCCAAAGCCAGGAGCCAGGCACCTCCTCCTGGTCTCCCATGCAGGTGCAGGACCTAAGGACTTGGGCCATTCTTCACTGCCTTCCTGGGCCACAGCAGAGAGCTGGACTGGAAGAGGAGCAACTGGGACTAGAACCCGGGGTGCCGGCGCCGCAGGCAGAGGGTTAGCCAAGTGAGCCGTGGCATTAGCCAGTTCAGTTACATTTTAAAAAATATTTTTACCATTTCATTAACATTTTAAAATTTATTAACACATGGAGCAGGTATCATGGTAAGTGGGATGGGCCAGGGCTTGCAATGCCAGCATCCAAAAACCAGCAACCCAAAATGCAGTGCCTGGACCAACCCTGGCTGTTGTGGGCACTTGGGGAATGAGCCAGCAGATGAAGGATCTCCCTTCTCTGTCACTCTGCCTTTCCAATAAGTAAATAAATGAAATATTTAAACAATTATTAGCACAAAGAACAAAAATTATTAGCACAAAAAATTCTACCATCACTTTAATGCCTATGAGATCTTAAAAAATTATTGATAGACATAGTTTACACCCTCCTTTTTCTTTGGTGCAGTCTTGTCAGAGGTTCATCAATTTCATTAGTCTTTTTTTTAATATTTTTAAAAATTTATTTATTTGAGAGGTAGAGTTACAGATAGTAAGAGGGAGAGACAGAGAGAAAGGTCTTCATTCTGCTGGTTTACTCCCCAAATGGCCACAATGGCCAGAGCTGCGTCAACCCAAAGCCAGGAGCCAGGAGCTTCTTGCAGGTCTCCCACATGGATTCAGGGGCTCAAGGACTTAGGCCGTCTTCTATTGCTTTCCCAGGCCACAGCAGGGAGCTGGATCGGAAGTGCAGCAGCCGGGATTCTAACCAGCGCCCATATGGAATGCCAGCACTGCAGACAGCGGCTTTACCCCCTATGCCATAGCACCAGCTCCTTAGTTATTTTAAAGTTACAGAATTTCCAGCTGGCGCCGCGGCTCACTAGGCTAATCCTCCGTCTGTGGTGCCAGCACACCAGGTTCTAGTCCCAGTCAGGGTGCTAGATTCTGTCCCGGTTGCCCCTCTTCCAGGCCAGCTCTCTGCTGTGGCCAGGGAGTGCAGTGGAGGATGGCCCAGGTCTTTAGGCCCTGCACCCGCATGGGAGACCAGGAGGAGGCTCCTGGCTTCAGATCAGCGCAGTGTACCCACCACAGCGGCCACTGGGGGGTGAACCAACGGCAAAGGAAGACCTTTCTCTCTCTCTCTCTCTCTCTCTCTCTCTCTCACTGTCCACTCTACCTGTAAAAAAAAAAAAAAAAAAAAAAGGTTACAGAATTTCTATTGGATTTGTAAAATAGATTGCAGTTTACTGATGAAATTATCTACCTTGTCATCTATTTTCTTGAATGTAAATTGATTTATTTAATGTACTAAAGTCTTTGTCTAATAATATCAATACCTGGATCTCTTATATCTATTTATAATGTCATTTTTCTCCATTTTTTTTGTCATTTGTTATTATCTACTTGTGCGTCAGATTTTTTTTTAATTGACTACAATGTGCCTGAAAAACTCCAGACGTAAGTTGAGGTTCTAATAATGGAATCTTCCTCCAGAGAGTATTTCTTCTGCTTTGGGAAGGCAATTAAGATAGAGGAACATCATCTAAAACCAAGCAAACATTGCTATGGGTTTTACGAAGGAAGTAATAAAAGTCTTCTTTAAGATATTAAGGGAAGGGCTGGCATTATGGCACAGCAGGTTAAGTCACAGGTTGTAATGCTGTATCCCATATGGGAGTGCCAGTTGGAGTCCTGGTTGCTTTGCTACTGATTCAGCTTCCTGCTACTGTACCTAGGAAGGAAGTGAAAGATGGCCTAAGACTTGGGCCCTGGGCAGCCATGTGGGAGACCTGGATGGAGTTCCTGGTTTCAGCCTGGTTCAGTCCTGGCTATTGTAGCCATCTGAGGAGTGAACAAGTGAATGGAATACCTGCTCCACTTCTTTTCTTTTCTTTTTTTAAAGATTTATTTATTTATTTGAAAGTCAGAACCACACAGAGAGAGAAGAAGCAGAAAGAGAGAGAAAGAGAGAGAGAGAGAGAGAGAGAGAGAGAGAGGTCTTCCATCTGATGGTTCACTCCCCAGTTGGCCGCAATGGTTGGAGCTGCACCAATCCGAAGCCAGGAGCCAGGAGTCTCCTCCGGGTCTCCCTCTCCAGTGCAAGGGCCCAAGGAGTTGTGTTGTCCTCTATTGCTTTCCTAGGCGATAGCAGAGAGCTGGATTGGAAGTGGAGCAGCCAGGCCTCAAACCGGAGCCCATATGGGATGCCGGTGCTTCAGGCCAGGATATTAACCCACTGCACCACAGTGCCGGCTCCCCAGGCTGCTCCACTTCTGATCCAGCACCCTGCTAATGGCCTGGGAAACCAGCAGAAGATGGCCCAAGTGCTTGGGCCCCAGCACCCACATGGGAGACCCAGAAGAAGCTCCTGGCTCCTGGCTTCAGAATGGCCCAGCTCTGACCGTTGTGGGCATTTGGGAAGTGAAGCCAGTGGATGGAAGACCTCTCTCTCTGTCTCTCCCTCTCTCTAACTCTGCCTCTCAAATAAATAAATAAATCTTTAAATAAATAAACAAACAAAAAACCATAAACACATACTCAATTCTGAGTACACACTACTGAAATACATGAATACTGGATACTTCAGATCAGCACTGTTCAATCAATACTTCCTCACTCAGCAAATGACCTTTAACACTTGAGTTCCATTTAGGGAAGTAAATTCATAATGCCATAAACCAAACTGTTCCTGCCTTTCTTTAGTGGTCACATTCTGACATTATCCCTCATGGGATCAAATCTCTTCCTCCAGAGTGTTACCTTAGGATTAAAACTTTGTCCTTTAATTTATGTTTGATAGCATACCTCTATAAGTTGTCATCAGTGTGTCATCTCCAGTCATTTAATTAGAATGAAAAAGTGGTTTTTCTCAAGTATGGAGATAAAAATCTCAAAATGCACATGATATAAACAACCTTAGAAATAATTTAATACAAACTCTTACAGATAAGAAACTGGAAGTCCAAAAGGGAAAATATTTTTGGTATATGACTCTTTTAAAAATATATTAAGGGGGCCGGCGCTGCGGCTCACTAGGCTAATCCTCCGCCTTGCGGCGCTGGCACACCGGGTTCTAGTCCCAGTCGGGGCGCCAGATTCTGTCCCGGTTGCCCCTCCTCCAGGCCAGCTCTCTGCTGTGGCCAGGGAGTGCAGTGGAGGATGGCCCAAGTGCTTGGGCCCTGCACCCCATGGGAGACCAGGAGAAGCACCTGGCTCCTGCCATCGGATCAGCGTGGTGCGCCAGCCGCGGCGACCATTAGAGGGTGAACCAACGGAAAAGGAAGACCTTTCTCTCTGTCTCTCTCACTGTCTACTCTGCCTGTCAAAAAAAATAATATATATATGTGTGTATATATATATATATATATATTAAGGGAGACTATTTTAAAATCTAATAAAGAGGGGCAGCACTGTGGCATAGCAGGTAAAGCCACTGCCTGCAGTGCCAGCATCCCATATTGGTGCCGGTTCATGCCCCGGCTGCTCCACTTCGGATCCAGCTCTCTGCTGTGGCCTGGGAAAGCAGTAGAAGATGGCCCAAGTCCTTAATCCCTGCATCCAGATGGGAGACCTGGAAGAAACTCCTGGCTCCTGGCTTTGGATTGGTGCAGCCTTGGTCATTGTGGCCGTCTGGTGAGTGAACCAGCAGATGGAAGGCCTCTCTCTTTCTCTCTCTCTCCCTTTCTCTCTTTCTCTTTGCCTCTGCCTCTCTGTAACTGTCTTTCAAATAAATAAATCAAGCTTTAAAAAAATCTAATAGAGAATATTTTAAAATCTAAAAGACATTCTAATGCAGGGAACAAAAATCCTTAAAGCTATAAAGGAAAACACTGAACACAAAAATGCACATTTTTTTCTTTAGTAAACTTTGAACAAAGTTAAAACAAAAAAATAGTATCAACACTTATAAAACAAATGTTTAGAAAAAGCACACTACATTTTACAAGTAAGAAAAAGACTATATTTTACAGCTTAAAAGAAAAATGAGTGAAGTATCATAAGCGATCAAACACATACATACACAGAGAGAATGGCCTGTGGACATATGAAGTGCTTAACCTTACTGCTGAAGAAAGTAAAACAAGGTATCATTGTTCACTTACTCAAATCCTTAACATTTACAAAGGATGTCAAAATTCTGGGAAAATGGCACTTGATATACAGTGAGTAGAGTATAAATTGAAGGGCAATGCATATAATCAAGCTTTTCCAATGTGTCACAACAGAGGAAATGCATTTTCTTTTCTAGTAATGCATTTTCCATTTCTAGGAATCAATTTGTGTCAGATCTTGGGACTTGCTCATGCGAGTCCATTCTAGTCTCTGTGGGGTGATTTACTGGAAAGCAAAGAATCTATTTTTCCAAACGCCTTGAAAGCTTGGGTTCACTGGGGCCGGTGCCGTGGCGCACTAGGTTAATCCTCCGCCTGAGGCACCGGCATCCCATATGGGTGCTGGTTCTAATCCCGGCTGCTCCTCTTCCAGTCCAGCTCTCTGCTGTGGCCTGGGATAGCAGTGGAGGATGGCCCAAGTGCTTGGGCCCCTGCACCCACATGGGAGACCTGGAGAAAGCTCCTGGATCCTGGCTTCAGATCAGTGCAGTTCCAGCCATTGTGGCCATTTGGGGAGTGAACCAATAGAGGGAAGACCTTTCCCTGTCTCTCTCTCACTGTTTGTAACTCTACCTGTCAAATAAATAAATCAAAAACCAAAAAAAAAAAAAAAAAAAAAAAAAAAGCAGCTTGGTTCACCAAGCGACGTCACTTCTGTCAACTGGGCCCATTCTTGGAAGATCTAGAATGTGCAAGGGAGGACAGGTCTGCCCTTCTGCAGCTTGCTATGAAGGCATTTGGTCTGGGTATCTGTCACAGATTGCACCTCTGGCAGTGTGGTCTCAAAGCTGACTGTGGATCGTATAAGTGGTAGTCATGGGTAAGCATTTAGTTTCTGCTTCTGGTAGAAGTAGAATCTCTTAATGGGGCCAATTCTTTTATTTTTTTTTAAGATTTTATTTATTTATTTGAAAGAGCTTATCTATCTGGAGAGGGGGAGAGAGAGACAGAGACAGATCTTTTATCCACTGGTTTGCTCCCCAGATGGCAGCAACGACCAGGGTTGGGCCAGGCCGAAGCCAGGAGCTTCATCCTGGTCACCCACGTGGGCAGCAGGGGCCCAAGCACTTAGACCATCTTCTGCTGCTTTTCCCAGGAAGTTAGCAAGGAGCTGGACTGGAAGTGGAGCAGCCAGGACACAAACCAGAGCCCATAGGGATGCTGGCATCACAGTGTCTTTACTGACTATACCACAATGCCAGCCTCTTAATGGCTTGACTCTGAGGTATTCTGGGGACCTTTCCTGGAGCTCAGTGCAGACTACGGCCTTCTCCTCCAGTCCTTCCAGTGCCAAATCCCCTGCATTAAATTCCTCTCTGCTTAACTAGCTAGAGATTCCTGATTTTTCAAAATGAATTATGATGCACTTAGAAACAGCCCCATGGGTGGTCAAAAATTCATACAGGGACTTTCACTGTATTACAATAATCTAAATCCAAAAGAACCTAAATTCTGTCAATAGAAGAGTGACCAAATAAATACCTGCATAATAAGTAGGAACGAATTACTTTCTAAATACTTGATATTTAAAGACATCTCCGACATATCCCTTCATTTATTCAAGAAACATTTGTTGAATTTCTATTATGATATGACTATGTGCCAACAACCAGTGTTCTACACAAGAGATATAACAGTAAACAAAATAAACAAAAATCTCTGCCCTCATGGACTTATATTCCAAGGATAAAGTGCTGGAATAATGTGTAGTATAGTTCAGGTTATAAAACATTCTTTCTACACACACACAAACATGTGCATACAGGAAAACACTTGGAAGGATGCACAACAAACCACACACTGATTCTTTCTGGGGCACTTCTCATACCTGCATCGGAGAGACAGCAGCTGCTGGAGCAGTCCGCACTGGTATTCCGCTTAGGGGACTTCTGGGGGTCTTATGCACAGAAAGATTCTGCCCACCTCCACCTGTCAAGAAAAGACATTGGGACATACAGGTGTTCTGCTTCAAAATAGCAGATCCTAGTTCTTGACTAGTTCACGATGTTTAGTGAAACATTTACTCTATTTTTCTTTTCTCCTCTGGTTTAGGGTCAAATTAGGGAAGGGATGGCGGGAAGAGTTAGCTGGGAAAAGTGTAGGCCCTAGTCACAGAGAACCTGTGGAAAAGAGAAAGTGTGTATATGTGTGTGTATCTACGGGAGGAAGGAACAGGCAGGTTCTTGTACAAACGATTACTGTTGATTCATTTTCTACCCTCACAGACTGACTCACTAGGATTTCATATCTTTCAGTCTGTGTAGCCTAATCTTCAGCTGATTTCATGGCAGACTATTTTGACAGAGATAACCAGGTATATCCTAGGATTATCTAAGACTCTCATCTTCCAATATAGCTGCATGTTTGTTGTAGTCAAGGGAAGAAACATAATGTTATTATGGAGAGATGCACATTTTGTTTCTTCTATTTACTATATTACATGCGTCTTTCTCATATATGCAGATAAGTGTGACTAAAGGGGAGTCGTGAGTCCGTCAGACTGTTCCAGAAAAGGGTGGGAATGCACCAAGGGCAGGAGCGACAGAATTAGCACAAAAATTCACACATAAGGCCAGGCAGAACAGAGACTAACGGCAGAGTGTAAGGTGAGGATGGCTGGGGGAGATGGGGTCTGGCATTGTGACACAGTGGGGTAAGCCTCCACCTGTGATGCCTGCATTCCTGAATCAAGACCCAACTGTTCTGCTTTCAATCCAGAAAGCAGCCCTGCCACCCACATGGGAGACCTGGATGGAGTTCCAGGCACCTGCCAGGCCCAGCGCTGACTGTTGTGACCACTTGGAGAGTGAACTAGAGGATGGAAGATCAGCTCCTCTCTCTGTTTTTCTCTCCCTCTCTGTCACTCTTCCTTTCAAATAAATAAAAATAGATCTTTTTAAAAAAGAGAGAGCAAGAGAAAGAGTATGATTTTCAGAAGATTGAAGAAGGCAAATAGTAGTGACCTGAATGACTGTGAGAGGCAGAAAAGGAAGGTAGCAAGGCAAGAACTGGAGCTAGGGAAGAGGTAAAGACAGGGAGGAGGCCATAGACGTCTCACTTGTGAGGCAGACTTTCTATGGTACCTCCCTAAGCCTCAGGCCCTTGCACACAACACACACTGCACAGCACTGCACAGGGCGTGATCTCAAAGGAGCCCTTGAGGTCGCTCCAATGTGGGGGCACAGTGGGGTAGACAGTCCTGACATCTCGGGTCAAGCTCTGGAAGTGGAGTTTTGTTTACGGCAAAGTGTGACTAAATACCTGAGCGTCCCAAGTCAAACGACTTGATCAGTGACTTGACGGTGGTTGCAGACTCAGCAGGTGCTGGAGAAGTCCTGTTGACGTAGATGCCATGCCACCGGCCAGCCACGTCTGCCTCCGAGGGCTCTGGCTCTTCGTTCACTGGTCTGCACGGTAAAGAGCACATCAGACCCAGAAGGTGGAGGATGTCCCCACGTGGACACAAAGAAACGGAAGGAAACTGACGTGTAGAAAATGAACACAGCTAGAGGAGAATCCGAAATTTAAAATTCTATTTTTTGTATCAGTCTGGCATCTTGAAGAAATAATGTAGATAGAGAGCATGGTCTCCCAGGTTTTTAAGATGTTTTCTTGGGAAAATGGTCAGAAATAATATACGTATATTTAAAATGACTTGATGCTAGCCCTAAATAACATGTATATGAGTCTTCTCTGAAGACTTAAATACACACACACACACACACACGTACTGAGCTTTCTGTGAATGGTGAGTGCAAAGGACTTTGGGTTGTCAACGGGTGTTCCCAACCCATGCAGAATATGGAGGTTGGGAAGATGATGCCTCAGGAGTCCCCTGCAGCTGGGATTTCAGATGTAATTTATGTTCCACCAATCCCAAAGACTTGGGCAAGACCTGGGTGGGGCAGAGGTGGGCCACAGGGTGTCTCTATGCTGACACAGACTGCATCAGAGACACAACACTTCTGGTGCTGGTACTTGCAATCATTACTTCCCAGCCATGCAGGCAGCCTCTTCATCCTAAGGCTACCTTCATGGAGACAGAGGCAGCAGTTCCCTTGGTGCCCTAGGCAGGCATTGAGACTTTGGGAACTGTTCCTGGGAGCTCAGCCTAGAGACTGTTTCTTCAGCCCTCCCCACACTTCTGTAAGTCACTCAATACATTTCTGCCCAGAGCAACCAGAGTCAGTCCCCTCTACACAGCGGGGTCCTGAGTCATACACTGCTCTCTGTAAGCAGCAGTAGGGAACGGGACTCTAAAATTGCTCAGCAATTCCGAGCGAGTGGAGCTCCTGCTCTCCCCCACATTTCCTGCTATGTTCTTCATGTGGTTTCTAAATCTGAGCACAAACCCAGAGAAGAGTACTTTGAAGATAGCTCATTTGATTCAATCCTCTCATGCGTGGCTTCCCTATCCAGGGGACTTTGCATGTCATTTAATCTCCCTGTGAATGAACCAAGACAAAAACTTCCACTCTTCTAATTGCTAAATCACTGCTCCTTTTATTATATCATATTGCTGCAGCTGTTTTGCAGGATGACTAATTTATGAGAAGGCCTCAAACAGGCTATTTCTGGTAGTATATTTTAACAAGGTCAGAGGGAATTTAAAATATTTATTTACTGATCTTTTTGAAATTAATCTAGCTACCACAGTTGAATTGTTGAATTTGATTTAATTCTCTAAGCCCTGCATTCAACCTGAATACAATAAATTTAAGTGAAATACAATTTAAAATACTTAAACCACTCTGTCCTGCACTCCTGCCTCCATAAACCCCTTTCAAAAGCAAAAAAAAAAAAAAGTGAGTAAAACTCTGGGAAACCTATAAAGAATTTAGGAAACCATAGGGGTCCTTTTTTAATTTTAATTTTAATTTTTTTTTGACAGACAGAGTAGACAGTGAGAGAGAGAGAGATAGAAAGGTCTTCCTTTTCCGTTGGTTCACCCCCCAATGGCCGCTGCGGCTGGCACGCTGCTGCAGGCGCACCGAGCTGATCGAAAGCCAGAAGCCAGGTGCTTCTCCTGGTCTCCCATGCGGGTGCAGGGCCCAAGGACCTGGGCCATCCTCCACTGCACTCCCTGGCCACAGCAGAGAGCTGGATTGGAAGAGGGACAACCAGGACAGAATCCGGCGCCCTGACTGGGATTAGAACCTGGGGTGCTGGTGGAGGATTAGCCTATTGAGCCGCGGCGCCGGCCACAGGTCCTATTTTTTTTTTTAAATTGTTTTAAAAACTTACTGAAAGGAGATGGTTTTACTATTTTCCCCTTTGTGTTACACAATACAAAATCAGGGTAAATATGTAGAAAGAGAATGAGTCAGATTAGGTCTGGGCAGGAAAATAATTTCCTATTTCCGTCCCAGCCATTCTCAGGAAGCTCCTCAATAAACCAAATGGGCTTCTTCCATAAAAGTTCATTCAAATAACCTGGTACCAAAGGGCCTTCAAGGAAGGTGACGTTTAAAAATTAACTTTCGTGTCATTCCTTAACAATTTAGTAAGAAGCAAACGGAGAATGCTACATTCTGCTGAGGTATCCAAGTGTCTGTGTGATTCAAAACATCACATGATAATCAGGAAGGCTCAATCAGACTTCCTAAGAAAACAGCAAGGCAACAAGAATCAATATTCAGGACTCTTTCCTTCAGATATCCAAAGACAATATTTCAAACAATCATTCTGCTTGGCTGAACAGTAAAACAAAGTATGAGAAAACTCTGTTAGTTATTTAAGTGGATTAGAGAAATCTCCACCAAATTCCATAATAGCTATTTGCATGTGCTTGTGTACAAATGCGGTTTAAGAGGGATCCACAAAGCCTGACTTGACTAACCATAGAAAACAATTACTGAGAATGCTATTGGTTTTATTAGAACAGGTTTAGCATCCCTAATCAGAAAACCAAAACTTGAATTTGCTCTAAAATTGCTAGCTTTTTGAGCACCTACATGATACCACAAATGGAAAATCCCACACCTGACCCCAATGTGATGGGTCACCAGCAAAATGTAGGTGCACTAAAAATACTGTACAAAATCACCTTCAGGGGGCCGGCGCCGTGGCTCACTTAATCCTCTGCCTGCGGCGCCAGCATCCCATACAGGCGCTGGGTTCTAGTCCCGGTTGTTCCTCTTCCAGTCCAGCTCTCTGCTGTGGCCCGGGAGGGCAGTGGAGGATGACCCAAGTCCTTGGGCGCCTGCACCTGCATGGGAGACCAGGAGGAAGCATCTGGTTCCTGGCTTTGGATCGGTGCAGCGCACCGGCCATGCGGCCATTTGGGGAGTGAACCAACGGAAGGAAGACCTTTCTCTCTGTCTCTCCCTCTCACTGTCTAACTCTACCTGTCAAATAAAAAAAGAAAACTTTCTCCTCTAAGAAAAAATACAAAAAAAAAATCACCTTCAGGCTCTATCTATATATAAGGTGCACATGAAACACAAATGGATTTTATCTTTAGATTTGGGTCTTATCCTCAAGATGTCTTATTATGTATATGCAAATACTCCAAACCCAAAACCATTTTTGGTCCCAAGCAATGCAGATGAGCACTTCAATCAGAAAATAAGCTTGAAATTCCTGACACCAGCCTTAGAATTGTCTTAGAACAGTAACAGCCTCAGCAATAAATGGAGTTACTACATATCTTCCGTTCCAAGGCCAAATAAAGGATATTAAGAAAACTTAAGCCTATAGCCAGGTATTTTAGCAAAGTCATTAAATAAAGAAAAAAATGCAAGGTACCACATTGGTAAGAATTTCTTCAAGACTAGTTATTGCCTCTAAGGCTGATGTTAGGTTCTAAAGTCAACTTATTAAAAAAAAAAGCACACATGTAGTCAAATAAGCCTTGCAAATTCTTTAGGTCATCACAAAGTACAGTTTCCATGGTTTTGCAAGTACTAGTGTATGCAAACATACACTATTTCAGTAAGTTTAACACATTACCTTCCCCTATGGGCATCAAACAGTCTGCTCTTTATCTGAAATAGTAGCCACACTTAACAAAAAGAAGGCAAGTTTCCTATCTGTTCTCAGCATATAAAACTACAATAAGAATTAATAAATTCAGTAAACTGAATATGTATATGAAATGACTCCACTATACAGGGTATTTCAAAAGCCTGGGGAAAGTGGAATTGAAAGATAAATTTATTTTGGTGTAAAAGAACTATGAAATCCACACATATGAAAATTCTTCCAAAAAGTTCATGAAAATCCTGTTATAAAGAAACTGCATGGATTGCAAAATTTTGGGGCAAAATAAACTTTTACTTCCATTATTCCATGAGCATTTTGAAGTATTCTTGCATATGCCAAGCACTGTACAACATGTCTTAAGAAACTTTATTAAATTAAACTTCCCACAAAAATCTAATGTTAGTAACCCTTGTGTTAGGAGGAAAACTGGACAAAGCTCACAAGGTTTATAAATGGTGAGCCTTGGGTGCAAGTCCAGCTTTGTTTGGTAACACTACTTGCAATTTTTCTATAATACATCAGTGTTCTGTGAAAAGCACACAGGATTCCAAATACAATAATCATGCTGATGTTATTTATTATTGAAACTTACTATAGATTTAAGAAAAATTGCTACCAACACTTATTTTCAGTGCTGTCATCTTTATGCAATAATTTGCTCTTAGGACGTGGTGACCCATACCTGAGAATGATGGATGGCTGGAGACCAGATCGCCTGACGCATGAACACAGAGCTGGTGACACACACGCCCATCGGCAGGCAACAACAGTTCACCTCAACCATGGCAAGCAGTGCGTCACCTGCTCACTGGATGCTGGGCGTCTATGGCCTTTTATATGTCTAATATTGTAACTTAACACACATATCGGCAATGATCCATTGCATTCCTTGTTGGAATACAGAATGAGCTTCAGTAGTGTTGATTTTCTACAGCATTTACTTCATCAAGGTGCCACTTGGTGTTGCCATCTACTTTGACCCAAGTACAGGTGAGTTCCTGTACATTTTTTTTTCAGTACTCAAACATTAACTCCATTTGGGTAAGGACATATTATGCCACTTTTACCTTCACAAACAGCAAATTAAGATTTGTAAAGAGGACCACGTGCTCACAACCACCAGGCCTCCTTGAACAAGCCAGCACAGCCCAGCTCCAGGCTGACTCCTGATCACCTCCCTCTGCCGGTCTAGCTTTGGGACTACTGTCTTACCACCTGAAGTTGCGTCCCCTTTGTCTCTTGCCTCTGTGCCATTACTCATTCTATGACCTTACCTGGAATGTAACTTCCTTATCATACTTCTTAATGTTTTTCACAAAACATTTCTAAAAGAAGTTTGTCAATTAAAGAGATTATGACATATTCTGTCTCTTAGGTGTCACACAGTATCTTCTGATGTTCATTTTCACATTTCAACATAAAA